ATCACAATGGAAAGTAATAATAGTCACATACCTCTTCCATGGAAAAAAGTGGTAGTTGAACAGGGAAGTCTAGTTGGCCCCGCCCATTCGCTTTCTTCATTTGGCCGCAATTGAAAAAGTCGAACTTCTTTAACATTGGCCACTCCGTACTGTGTTGCCCTGGGTAAAAATATTTAAGTCTTGGTAGGCAACTAAGGCGCAAGTAGGACATTTGAGGAAACTCAAACTTAACATCGGCTTCTAATCCTCCTCCCACTGCAACGATTTCCTCCAAACCAGTACTATAGCCTATCTCTAGTGTTTGGAGTTGTGAAAGGGCTTTGCCTACCGAAGCAGGAAACAAATGACTGAGACTCTTACAAGAAAATACACACACTGACTCAAGGTTTTGAAAATTGAGAATTCCTTCTGGATCCTTGTTCCACACACGCTTCAATCTTGGCAGACCACCAATCTCTAATACTTTCAACTGGGTGTCCATCACAACAGATCTTTGGTTCGCGTTGATTTCTCCAAGTTTAAATACCGCCTCTAGTAAACCACAATTATATATACTTAAATACTCCAGTGATGACCACAAACTTGCCAGCATATTGTTAGATGGCAAAATACTCATTAACCCCTCACAGCATGCGACCACCAATGACTTTAATTTGCAAAAGGAATTTGCTTGAATTTTGCTATGCCATATGGTTGTCACGTTTTTCAAGTGAGAGATATTAATTTTTTCCAGGTTGGGAAATGCACCCTACATAATTCATCATGTTGGAATTATTGTTAGAATTGTGGCATTCAAATCTACAAAAATGGTGAAATGAAGCTGCCATGAAATGGCAGCAAATGAAGCTGTCAAATGACAGCAAAAATGTAAATGAAATGAAGCTGCAATGAGTAACAAATAAAATGCAAATGCAAATTAATATACTGAGGGGATGCAGAGTGGCTGCCAAATGACAGCAAGCATACAACAAAAGTGGTTGTCTTTTTACTTGTTTTAGACGTATTTCATTGTTACTTTTTAAACGTAAAAAAGTTGTTTATATAAAACAAGAAAACGTTTAGTAGAATACTTTTGAAATTGTTTTTAGACAAAATTGATTGTTAAGCCCCTCAACTTCCCTATATTCTCTTGTACCACCCCAATGAATGCAAATTACCCCAACAGCTAACAACGTTACAAACTTTCATCACTTGAGACAAACGTCCATTCCTCTCCGCTTACATGGGCAGCCGTTCCGTGTAATTGCTGATGTGGCTTGGCAATTCAATAGGTGGCTTGATAATTCCGTAAATAATGTTTTAAAGATAAAATAATTGAGGGACAGTTTTAATGCATAATTTTTTTATATAATTTTATATGTCATTTAATGATTTATTCTTTTTATTCTACTAGAACTCATGATATTATATTCATTCACTATTTAACAATATGTGAAATTGTAAATAAATATTGTATAAACAGTTTTTTTGCATATAACTACGCTTCAAAACATCACACAAAAAATTTATATATACATTTTTTTACTCACAAGAAAATTTTATTTGGCCCATTGTAAAATAGGATCTTTATTAAGAGTACACATTAAGGATATATTTATTATCATTTTTCACCCCTAATTTCTATATAAAAATATAAAAGTTGACATTAATTTCAACACTAATGTCACATGGATGATTTAAATTAGATAATTGGTATAATTAAAGTTAAAATTTATTTTCTATATAATAATTAATAATAAAAAATAATAAATACACTTTTAACCTATAAATTAAAAAAATCCTTTAAAATAACTTGCACATATTAGAAAACTTACTTTAAGTAAATTAATTAAATCATATTAAAATAACTTTAAAATTATGATTTGCTATCAAGATCACATATCCAAATCCCAAAGCAACTATTATATTAATTAATTATTTTTATACAGAGTATAAAATATAAATTTGATTACTTAAGCACAATACATATAAACAAGAAAAAATATAAAATACCCCACATATAAGAGACTGAAACCCAAATCTTAGAGAAACACGACCTGCATGGGAGTCTCCTTGCATACGTATCCAAGTTTTGGTTTCTTGTTCATATCAAATTTGAATTTTGAGATATGACATTTTTATTTTTAAAATCATGAATTCATGTTTTGATTTAGTTCTAAATTCAAAATTAGATATTGGAAAAAATTACAAGACCTTTGAATTTCTCAAATTTTAGTTGTTTGCTTAGAAAATTAAAGAGAGAGTTTGAAAATTAGTAGAAAGCTCGTATAACTTTCTTTTATAAATTTTGATTGATTCATTTGCTATCTAAACTCAATTGAGAAGAAAACTACAATTTTGTTCAATTATCTGTACTTTTAGTTTCTTAGTAACAAACAATTGCCTGAAGATGGAGATGGGGCGAAGTTAGACAAAGAGAGAGAAACTATGGGAGAAATAAAGGGGGAAACTAGAAAAGAAAGGAATGAGTAAGAACATATGGACACTTTTGGAATCTTAACGTTTGATAATATTTATTTATATTTAATTATTAATTGGGCAAGTCTAAACTTTGCTCGCCAGTTGCCAGGTTATACTTAGTATTACCGTGAAATGCTATGGCGGTAGGCATTTTAGTAATTTGAAAGTGAGTTGGAGTGCTGTGCTTCTCACCGTTTTTAGTTTATGTTCTGCTCTTTATCTTCTTCTTAATTTTCTATCCATTTCTTTGTGAAGAATAAATTTAAAAAAAATTAAAAATAATAATAATAAAAAACACACACACACACATCATGCCATTGAGAGAAAAAGGATAAGAAAATTAGAGCCAGAATGCAAGTGAAATGCAGACATACCTGTTCGTTGAAGAGGGGCTGAGTGTCTGCTGCAACATCTGTGCTTGTAGACATAACTGCGAAACCCTTGAACTCTGGGCAGTTTCGTACAGCCAATTCATTCAAGGATGAGAATTCAATGGTCGAATCTCCAAAGTAGAAGCTAACAAGGTTTTGAATTTGCATTAACTGTAGAAATTTCAGCGCAGGGAAAATCAAATTCCCCTTTTCTTCTTCATTCTCTTCAGAAAGAACCTTTGTCATCATCTTGCATTCCCTTATGTCAAGGTGTCCAAGCTTCTCTAGACTTCCAGCCATAGTGGTTGAGAATAGGTATTTCAAGTTATGGCAGCCATGAATTATCAATTTTGTCAGGTTCTCAACACAGTAAGATGCTATCCATATCGTGTCAACATTAATCCATGACAATTGCAGCTCCTCTAGGTTTGGAAACAGAAACTGCACAACATATAATTCCCTTTCTGAGCAAAGCTTATCATTTTTTGATATATAATAGAAAATGAAAATGTGAAAATTTGTAATATTTGTGAATGGTTTGAACACAAGTATATTGTTTGAGAAAAAAAAAAAGATGGTAACCTATATAGTGCTTTAAGTGTCGTTTTTATACACCATGTGAAATGGATTAAATTAATGTAATTGATATTGCTTCGCATTAGAAAAAACAAAAAAAGAAAAAGAAACAAGAGAAATGAATTAAATACCTGATCATTGAAAAGTGGCATGGTGCTGCAATTACTGTTGAAGCTAATCAGCTTTGGCAGACGTTGTAATCTCAAGGACCGCAACAACTGACCAAACTTTGGCTTTACTTCTTGACTTGCTTCAACAATATCTTCTCTGCTCCTTTGCTCCTTGACGAGATCAATAATCTCGTCCATGTTGCTGCAGTCTGACACTCTAATTTCTTGTAGTTGGAGAAACTGGCTAGCTATGGAAAAGGAGAACAAATTCTTTAGCTGATGACAACACTCAATTGTTATTGTTCTTAATTTGCTAAAAGCCGTATCTTTGAACCTGGCTTGAAATAACTTCTCCAATTTAATTAAATTACGAAGAAACAATACTTCCAAGTTGGGAAATGCACTGAAAGGACCCCATCCCCTTAGGTTAACAATTTGATGAAGCTCTGGAGCATTACAAATATAGAGATACTTCAGATCTGGAAAACCTTCAATATCTAACTCATCAACCACATTCTTTACACCATTCAACTCCTCTAGATGTAGCTCTTCAGTCATCTTCAACAACCGTTTAATTGAATAGTCGAATCTTGTGTGTGCCTTCATCTGCAGCTTCAATACTTTTAAGCTATCAAACGAGCTATCCCAGTTGTTCCACACATCCCCCATGAATATCTTGTATCTTTCTAATTTTCCAGGGATCGTTTGAACATCAAGGACACGTAACTCTAAAGCTGTTAGTCTAGGTAACTGTGTCAACTCAGAAAGGCTTGCATTTCTTTGCCTCCCATGCTCCATGACATCCCACTGGTAAAAGCTGTTTCCCATTTTTAGCTCTTGTAGTTTGGACAAACTTGCTAAGACTTGTTGTGGAATTACTTTCAATTTTGTGCAGTCACTCAAATCTAACAACTTTAGCTCGGTCAAACTCCCCACTTCTTTTGGCAGCTCTTCAATTTCACATCCTGCAAGGCTGAGGAATTGCAAATTATTCAGCTTTCCTATGATAGCACCTACGTCTGCATCTCCTAGCACACTTTGATCCAAAGGCAATGTGCGAAGGTCTGTTAGGAGGGTAATAGACACAGGCATGGGGGATAAATTCATTTTTGTCAAACCCAAGACTCTGAGTTTTTCAATCCCCGAAAAAAAATTTGCAGGAATTGCTAGAGAGTAGTTGGACAAATGAAAGAAAGTAAGCTTGGGGCATTGGAACTTATCTGGAAGCAGACCACCGCAAGCATCTCCATTTAATGAAAAAATCCATTTCAAATCTGTCATTACCTCTTTGTCTGGCCACCCTCCCTGCACGTCTTCATCTCTTGAAGTAAACACACCATAGTCCCTAGAAGCCATTGACTTGGCAACATCCCGAATGAGGTCATGCATGTCAAAATACATTTTGCCACGACCATCTACCAACAGAGAAGACGCTTTGAGATGATCAACCAATGACAATACTCTGTTTCGTGTTTCTTCTATTGTGCGGACATTTAGAAACAAACCCAAACCCACACCATATTTCACCAACTCTTCAATGGAAGCATTGTGGCTGAGCAAACTACACATCAAGAATGTTTGCTTGAGTTCTTCTCTTTCTAAATGCTTGAAACTGAACTCTATAGCTGAGAAAAATTTTGCAGATTTCCCATACGGAGAAGGTCTTTTCAATTCTAGCAGAGCATCCTTCCAATCATGCACACTCTTATTTTTCAAAGCATTTCCAATTGTTGCAACAGCAATCGGCAATCCTCTACTTTCTTTTGCAATCTCCCTTCCAATCTTCCGCAACTCATGCCTTTCAACATCCTTGCCAACTATCTTCTTAAATAGCTCCCATGATTCATTATCTTCTAATTGACCAACTAGAAATTCTTTTTCAGTACCCATATCACCTGATAAAACAGAGCGATCTCTGGAGGTCAACAAAACCTTACATACTAAAATTTGTTGTTCAGCTGAGCTTTCATCATTCTTTTCCCCTACAGGTTGCTTTTGCTCATTTGCAGATAAGGGGATTCCCACATCCTCCAAAGCTACTCGTCCCCAAATATCATCCAAAATTACTAGAACCTTCTGCCTTTTTGTCAGTGTTGACTTTATTCGAGCAGCAGCTCCCCACTCTGGAATCCCATCAGGAAGCTCTAAACCCAATCCACGTTGAATTTCTTGTTGAATACTTTTCAAGTCTGGATTCTTTGTCACTTTAGCAATAACAACTGCATCAAACAACTTCTCTTGCTCTGCTTTTCTTTTAACTTCTCCAGCCAGCAATGTCTTCCCCACGCCAGGCATCCCGTACACTCCTATCTTCTTGATGGTTGGAGATAGTAGAGCCTCCATGATCTCCTTTAAAACATGCTTTCTTGAGTCAAAGTCCTTGAAAACTTCATCAACCAGATCTGCTTTCTCCTTTTCCACATGGAAGAAGGAAATTCTATTGAACTTGGCCTCCAGAAGTTGACCAACAGCCAGGGCATCCTCCTCTGCTTTTTTGCTTAGTCTGTAAATAGACTTGGGATTAAGACACAACCCTAGGAAACACCTCTTCTTGGCTTTGTCTTCTAATTCATCCAATGATTTCTTTGCCTCTCCAGTAATATAATCATCTGCTTTACTCATCCAATTCTTGACCTCCTGTTCAATTTCTTCAGCCTTTCTTTCAGCATCAGTAACATCGTGTTGCACACTCTCTCTTCTATCCGCCAGCAGCGCCAGTTTATCCTTCAGATTTCTGACATTATCGCTCCGTTTGTAAACAAGAGTTATTGGTTTTGAGATCAGATCGATAGTAGTTTCAACTAGGTGCTCAGCACATTTGCTACCAGCAGCGACGCCAATTTCAGTGGCCATCCTCTAATTCTGTGTTTTCCTCTCTCTCTCTCTTTTTTTTTTTTCCTTTTTTTTTTTTTCTGGGTGTGTGGAGAGACAAGAAACAGAAGAACAAAAGCCGATAATAATAGCAGGGTAAGCCGATTTGTGTAGAGGGATGAAAACTGGTCAGAATTAGAGAGACAAGAAGCAGAAGAACCAAACTAAACAAAGGTGAAAAATCAGAACTGTGGGAGGAAGAGCAAATTTGTGTACAGAGAGGTGAGGTAACGTGCAGAGTCACAGACGATGATCAAAAAGAAGAGTTGAGCAAAGACATTGAAGGTAACAAGTCACGATGAAAACAAATCAAATGACATGGGGATAATTAATGAAACAAAGGGTGAAAATTGTACAAAGATGAGGTGATTTGTGAAAAGGGAGGTGAGTTGAGGAGCAGAGAGTAGCAGAAGATGATAAAAAGGACTGAGCAGAGACAATGAAGGTAACAAGTTGGGATGAAAGCAAATCAAATGAAATGGTGAACACAGCGAAAGTCAAAAGAGAGA